TGACGTGACCACCGCACGAGCCGCGTCCCTGACCTAGCAAGAAATCGCCTTGCTAGGTCAGGCGCCTTGACATTGAGAAACATCCCTATTGTTTGTGTTGGAGGGGAGGGTCCATCAAGCATGCTCCAGTTTGCATAGGTCTATGGTAATGATTGCTGCGCCCAAAAGTAACAGGAAATATGTCCCAAGACGATCCGGTCTTGATAAAAGTATAAACAAAATGTTTAAGCTACACTTAAACGCAAATGAAACACTTAAAGCCGTTATGTTGTATAAATCGTTTGTTTTCACGTTCATGTTATTTTTACATTATGTACATTTATATTATAGTATATTAATGATCTACGGTAGCATTGAGTTTTACATCTGGGGTGTCTCAGCCTGCCACTGAAGGAGCTGGCATGGTCTCCACAGTGGGATGCAGTGGGTGGGAGGGTGGTTCTAAGATGGAGCGCATCTTAAGTTTTTATGACAACTCAAAACAGTAATTCACTTCCTGTATGTGGTTCCTTTAACATAGAAAGCTAAAACCTCCCTTCCTCACAGCAGTAGAAAAAAGAATTATTTGTGTTTCAGCAAGTTCCTGCTGGTTTTTCTGCCCCATTCTGACCCGTCAGCTCAGCCCGTTCAAATAAGAGCAAAGACATGACTGGGATCCCAGAGGATAAATCCTCTGTTTGTGTTTGGAATCACTTTGGGTTTTATTTGAAGATCATTTGGAATATTATCCAATGGTTGTTATTTCAGACCTAAACTCAAAGGCTCCTGCTTTACATTTCCTGCCTGTTAAATAGCTGAAACTTACCCCAGAAACACCAGAGGAGTCATCGGCACGAAATAAATGAAAAATTAACTTTTCATTTGATTTTTACTGCAGGTGTGATTTGTTAGCCGTCATGTAAACCCATGCAAATGTTTTCCACTCCACTTTGCCAAGGAGGAGTCGTAAAGTGTATCTCACACACACACTCTCTGACCCCCTCCTGCAGCTTTATGGGAGCGCGCAGTTTAAAAGCAGAGGTATTTACGACTCAGCACTCTCCCCTAGAGTTCCTGGAGCTCTGCTGAACATGTGGGACGGGCGGTGTGACACCATCAGCCCCATTTAAAGATAGACGGGCCTTCGGTTCAGACTATTTGTGTCGGCGAGTCTGACCACCTGTTTTTCTGTCTGTCTTTAGCAGCTAAAACATGGCAGGATGTTTCATAATCAATCTCGTAAAACTGAAGTATTTACTAAAGGACGTTGTAAAGGATGTTGGTTTATATTATATAGTTTGGAATTTAGTCTCGGCTTTGAGGAAAAATGTAAATAATACATCCCAATGTGAATTTTAATCAAGAATAGCATGCTGTGAGTTTTGGTTGTGGCACCTATAGGCAGCTTCCCCATAAACGATGATTAATGACAGGTGAGTAAGGCCCTGTCCACAAGTAGCCGGGGATCTGCCAAAACGTAGATATTTTTCTACGTTTTGGCCTGTCATCCACACGAAAACGGAGTTTTTTCACACGAAAACGGATCTTTTTAAAAACTCCGGCCAAAGTGAAGATCTGCGTTTTCTCCGTTGTGGGTGTCTGCGTGTGGACGGACAAAACCGGAGTTTTAAGGTCGGCAACGTCACTTTCCACGACAAAAAATGCTGACATCACATGTGAGACCTGTGTTTACACTAGCCGACAGCATGGATGCCCTCAGAGCTGTGCTCGCTTTATCAATTGTCCAAGCGTTTTTTGCTTGTTTGTTTTTGCAAGCGGAATTACTGCTCCTTGCGGAAGACCACAGACGAAGGACGAGGTTAAGAACGGGGGAAGTACCGCCGCCTACAGGTCTGGCATGTCCTTAACAACGTATTTATCCGGGTACGTGTGGACAGTTTTTTTTAAACGAAGTGGTGTGGATGCAAGTTTTTGGAGGGGCGGATATTCGTTTTTTAAAAAACCCGGCTACGTGTGGACTAGGCCTAAGTCCCACCCCCTTTGGTGTGCCAGAGTTCAGGTTTTTGGATTTGTGTTTTGATATTGTTAATGTTTTTTTATAAGTATCAATTGAGTATTTTTACGATATTTGGAGATTTTTTTCGTAGATTCTTTATTTTTGTAGTAAAAAATTTTCCAATTTTTAACAAATTTTTTTCTCCAACTGTTTTTTTCTCAACTATAAATATGGACCTCAAAACGTAGATATTCGAGTCTTCTTCCACGTGCTGCATCTCTAACTGCTGTATGACTGATGGTTTCCTCCTAAATCCCCTCAGAGTACAGAGTGAACACCCAAATATCCACTGACTTCAGTAGTTTAACCCAAAACAGGAAGTGATGAGTCATTTTACTTTTCTCAACAAAATAAATCACAATTATCATCATCAGAGCCTTCTGCTGCTCACAGTTCGAGTTTTTTCAAAACAACTTTTAGTTTTTACCCAACAGCTCTTTGAAGATTAGCTTGTAGTGCCTCTTCTTAAAGAAACGATAAATAGATTTTAAACTTTAAGCTAGAGCTTTAACATTGATTTAAGTGATTGTGAGTTAGAAACTTGACCAGTTTCATATTTGACACCACTCTGCAGCTCTACTGGCCAGATGCTGCACTTAAGAGTTTTTTGGAGCAGGTGCATGGTCTATAAGGGGAACTCCTTTATAGCTGTAAGCTGCAATGATAGCTGTTAGCTTTTTCAGTTCACCTATTGTCAATAAAAAGCACAAGAAGAAAAAAACAAGTTGTTTGCTTTTTCTGTTGGCATCATGGCGGAGCCTTGAAGTAAAAGAGTAATGTCTTTGGAGGTCGACAGGCAGATTGGTTCGGCGTCTGCAGTGATGCGGACGCTGAGCCGATCTGTCGTGGTGAAGAGGGAGCTGAGCCAGAAAGCCAGACTCTCGATTTACCGGTCGATCTACGTCCCAATTCTCACCTATGGTCATGAGCTTTGGGTAATGACCGAAAGAACGAGATCGCGGATACAAGCGGCCAAAATGAGTTTCCATACCATACCATACCAACTTTATTTATAAAGCACATTTAAAAATGGCATGGCAGCCGACCAAAGTGCTGTACAGAATAAAAAGTAAAAACACAATATAAAACAATACACAGTCAACAATAAAATGCACAACAAGGCAGATAATCACAGTCAATAAAAAGACACAAAATAAAATAATAAAAGTCAGGGATTTAAAAATGCCTGGTCGTAAAAGTGAGCCTTCAGCAGCGACTTGAACCGGAGGAGGGATGGTGCCAGCCTCACTGAAAGAGGAAGAGCATTCCAGAGTGTCGGAGCAGCATAGAAAAAAGCACGCTGCCCCCGCGCTTTGTATTTCATTGATGGAACACGAAGCAGCAGGCAATCAGCAGACCTCAACGCCCGGTTTGGCACATAACGAGTGACAAGATCCGACAGGTAATCCGGAGCCAGACCGTTCAGGGCCTTAAAAACAAAAGTCAGGATTTTAAACATGACTCTAAAGTTTACGGGTAGCCAGTGTAGCTGCGCCAGTACAGGTGTGATATGGTCTCCTCTAGGGTTGTTTGTTAAAAATCTGGCTGCCGCGTTCTGTACAACCTGAAGCCTGTTAAGAGCGGAGGTAGGTAAGCCAATTAAAATGGAATTTGCATAATCCAGTCGGGAGGTGATAAAAGCACGAATTACAGATTCCAGGTGTGCTCGTTTCCTCCGTAGAGTGGCCGGGCTCAGCCTTAGAGATAGGGTGAGGAGCTCAGACATTCGGGAGGGACTCGGAGTAGAACCGCTGCTCCTCCGGATCGAAAGGAGCCAGTTGAGGTGGTTTGGGCATTTAGTCAGGATGCCTCCTGGACTTCTCCCCGGGGAGGTGTTTCGGGCATGACCTGCTGGCAGGAGGTCCCCGGGTTGACCCAGGACACGATGGAGAGGTTACATCTCCAATCTGGTCCGGGAACGCCTTGGGGTCCTGCCGGAGGAGCTGGTGGAGAAGGCCGGGGAGAGGACGGTCTGGAGCTCCCTAGTTGGAATGCTACCCCCGTGACCCGGACCCAGATAAGTGGAGGAAGACGACGTCTTTGGAGGTGACCAGAGTGAACATTGACACAAACTCCGCTAGTTTGGGGGAGCTAAAGGAGGCTACACAATCACGGACTGATGTTGACCTGGCTTTGTTACTACTGGACTTGTAAAAATTTTTTTTGTGTGCTCATGTTAGAGTTAGCTTGTTATTAGTGCTAGCTACAGCCGGCTGCAGCAGGGTTGTTCACGGCAGTTGTTATTCCACTTTCAACCAGTAGGGTTAAGGAGCAGGAAGCTGCACAGACTTACTTTTAGTTACTTTAGTTTAGTTTACTTTTAGACTTACTGTTTTACTTAAGTTTAGTGTTGGGGGAGTGAGAGACACAGGTTCACTGTTGCCATGGTGACCTCAATGAGCCTCAGGCAGTACTTTTAACATTATTTACACAGGAAATCACTTAGTCTCCACAGGGTAAATGGTTAAGGCGATGTTAGAGTTGTGTGCTGTCACTGTTTTGGCGTCATTTAAACTTTCTTTTAAAATATTGTAGGTCATGGTCTGCGCTTTAGGATTTAAGGGGCAATAAAGATTCTAAAACAAATATACCTCTTTGTTCTTGTTTTGACTCTGAGGTTCTAGGGCTGGTAAAATATGTTTTGTTTTGTCTACATTTGTTTTTAAATGCACTGGATTACTGGTAATGTGTCCAAAATGCTGTTTTGCATCTTCTTTCTGATGACATTTTAAAGCATACCAATAAATAGTAGTTTGAGTTCCACTCTCATTCCACTATTTTCAAATCAGCACATAAATGTTGAATTTTAAATCCAGGTAAATATGAATGAAAAGCTGAATACATGTAGAAAAAATCAAGTATTTTCCACACATTTTGAGGCACGTTGTCCAAAAATACCGAAAGTAAATGATAGATGTTTTTTAATTATATACACATAAATAAACATGAAGTGAAGGTGTAGCCTGTGCTCCGTCCCCCTCTAGTGGTCATGAGGAGCCGGTTTGAAGCCACAGCTGAAAGCAATTATGTGGTTAGTCTTGATTAAAGCTGACTTGAGAGACGAGGGAAGTCATCTTGGGACACATTTGGAAAAATCTAGTCTAAACTCTACATAGCTTAATTAGCAGATTGTGAGATTTTCTGGTTTTAGTGACAACAACTGGTGAAAAGTTATTTTAAGAAAAACATGTCAGAAGAAAAGTGCAAAACACTGAGATGCAGTCAAGCCTGGAACTACATCCCGCCGGGTCGGCAGCTTCCTCGCACTCCTCCAATGGCCGATGTGAAGAGGAATTTGAGTTTTTTGGATCCAGATGCGAACCATTCACATCCAGATCAGAACAACAAGGTAGACGTGTGATTCTGTGTCTCTGTTTAGTATCAAAGTGGATTACTGACAGGAGCTGAATCTCTCGTTTCCAGGTGGAGAGCAGAGATCGAGTTGAGCTGCAGAAAACTCCTCTCTGCTGGGATCCGGAGCTAGGTACTCTGATCTGTTGCATGTGACTGCTTGAGTTGTGACTGAAGGTGAGCAGAACGTCCTGATTTCAGATGCCCCTGAATCCATGCTGAAGGGCATGAGGGGCTACCAGCTGACAGAAGCTGACCTGGAATTCATCAAAAAGACTAAAGAACAACAAGTTTTCAAAAAGCTTCAGGTAGTGTTTTTTTTTTTTTTTTTGTCTAAAATTCTGCCGAGTTTCTGATCTAGTGAGATATTGGTGGGTTTTTAGGGAGATCTGCAGGAGGTGCAGAAACGGCTGAAGAAGGAAATGTTTGCCTTGGACCTTGCATATGCCTCTAGGAAGAAGGGGCAGGATGAGCTTGATAAGGCGAGTCTTTACATTTTTACATCCTTCACTTGGGTTGAGGACCAAACCTCCAATTGGTGTTTTTATTTTTTGTTTTTCCATCCATCAGTTCCCATCCTGTGAAGACCTCACTACCTGGTCCAAACTGGTGATCAGAAAGACCACCCCTTCAGTGGAGTTGGACCATTTGGGTGTGAAGTCTCTTGTAGCCATGGTGACAACGGAAAACATTCAGAGCTTCATGGATGAGAAGAAGAGAGGGATGGATGAGATGAAGAGGACAGCAGCTGAAAAGTAGGATTCACCTAAATGTACTCGAGTAAATGTAGATCAGTGATTTAGACGGGATCTTAAATGTCATCCTTGGGGTTTACTTTGGTTTTCTCTGACTCAGCATTTGGGTACTGGTCTTCTAACTCGAGGACCTGCTGAGATGATGAAGCTTTTAGATCTGATGTGTTGGAGCAGGAATAATTCCTGTTGATCTAGCTGAGCCACTCCATCCATGTGAAGAACATCATGATGCACCACCTGAGCAGCTTGCTTTTGTTGTTTTTTTGTCTTAAGAACAAATTTGCTGATTTTAAAATCAAATTGGCCACTCTGAGATTTAAATGCAGGCTGAACATGAAAATAGTCTCCTACACCTATCCTGCATTAGCTTCTGATAGAAAATAGATGTGAAATTCTAGGATTAGAAAATCCTGACAGATCTACATCACACTGCCACTTAATATTCATGGACTCGCCCAGCTTTGCTCATGATGGGGAAGGCCATTGGTTTAGCGTCTATTAGTAGAAGCAGTTAGCATTAGCAACTCCACCACACAGCAGAACTCGTCCAGGCTTGTTATTTGTGGAGCTAAAACCTCAACGACGCAAGTCAGTGGTAGATTCATGTTGCTGTTATCCAATCGGAGAAGAGATGTCAGAATATCCACTCCAAATCCTGCCGTGTTCTGCTCAAGTGGGCTGTGGCTCACTTCCTTCCTCAAACAGGAGCGCAAAAGCTTTTATTCTGCAGGGATCAACTCACAAGGGATTAATTTATACTTGAGACTGCTGCACATGTGCTCAGGGGAAAAACATTTGTGAACTTGGTCTTTTTAGGAAGGAGAGGGACAACCTGGAAAGGGATCGACTTGAGAAACAAGTTGTGACTGATGAGGTGAGAGGCATCAGCTTTAACCTCTTTGGTTTGTTTCAGTTATTGGAACGTGTTCTGGTTTCCAGATGAAGATCCAGAAGCTGATGAGGGAGTTGGCTGACCTGAAGTCTAGACTCCTAGAACAGGTGTTTAAATTTGTAAATGTGAAAGAAGCCCTTCCCACTCATGAACTAAAGGGTTCCTCTTAATTCAGAAGGTGGAGGAGAAGTCTGCAGAACCACGAGCTGCTAAAAGCAAAGCGAAGCAACAAGAAAGGCAAGGAAAGGCGACTGAAGGTCCACAAAAGCTCATTACTGGTAAATCAACTCGACGTGGGCATGTAGATGAGACAAATGCTTTGAGGACGATTCCTGAGGAAAATCGGCACCAGAAACCCGGAGCAGTGTTGGAATCAAAGCCATTAAAAGCCTCAACAAAAAAACCTCGGAGGGTGGAGAAGGAAGAGGTGCCTGAACGGGCCGAGGGAGGGCGGCAAAAACCTGCAGACAGTTGGAGGAAGGCGACCTTGGAGAATAACCCAAAAGAATCACATCAAGAGTCTCACTGTGGACAGGAGGCAGAGGAACAACCTCACTGTCTTGGTCTGAGACGTTCCAAGAGGATCGCCAACAGGAAGTAGATGACTGTTTTGTTTTTATTCACTGTGAAATAAAGTCTCTCTTTTTTTTAATCACTTCCTGTGACGATTCTTAAATGTATCTGTTTTTGATCACAGGTGTCAACCTTGTGCCTCCAGGGCCCACATGTGGCCCTCGTGCCTCTAAAGCAGCTCCTTGTTCAACCAAAAAGGGCAGTAGCCTGAGTGTTATAATTGGCTTGTTTTTGGGGTTAATGTGGGCCAAGTTTTACAATGTTTCAAATTTTTTGCTTCAAATGAATAAAATATCATCATCAGACACTAATAATATAAACTGGTTGCTTTTTAGTTATAAGCATTAGTCCCCAAGCTCATATAAAAAATATCAGACTCATTATGCCAGAAACTTGCAGAGGGGTATAAGTGTGATTATGAACAACTAAAGCATTTATACTCAACACAACAAGAAATAAACAAAATAAAATAAAAGACTGACAAACGTAAAAGCTACTAGATATGTAATCAGATCACTCTCGAATTAATGTGACCATCAAAGAGCATTTGTTAGATTATCATGCTACTGGTCACATCCTAAGGGTCTCATAGAACAAGTGTCGTCCAATAATGCTTGTCTAGCAATAACAAAACAATGGTGATGAGTCAAGGGCGAGAGCTGCTCTCTTTTCGTTGAATTAAGAAGGGGATAATAAAGTAGGAGCTGATTAGGTCCAAAGTAGGGGCAAAATAAAGATTTAGCAAAAATATTCACCAACCTGCACAAAAGGAGTTCAGCATTAATTACATAAACAGTTAATTTAGAAACCATATAGATTAGCTAACACAAGGTAGAGGTATTTACATAACTTCTATACTCTTCATAACTAGTAAAGAACTAGATTCTTCAAATATGCAGTTAATTTAGCATCCTCATATGGAACTGATCATAAATCAATGCTACTGAAGTCATGAACACCAAATCAAGGTTTAGGTAACTCCAGTCACAAACAGGGAGACTTGTTTAGAAGACTCATTTGTCAGGAAAGTTTCAAGGATATAAACGGACATGACCCATGACTTGAGTAGTAGTCTTGGCCTTCTAGACATCTAATAATAATAATAATGCATTGAACTTATATAGCACTTTTTCTAAACACCCAAAGACGCTTTCACACACACTCACATTCACTCACTGCTAGTGATGGTAAGCTACTTGTAGCCACAGCCGCCCTGGGGAGGTCTGGCAGAGGTGAGGCTGCCATTTGGCGCCGTCGGCCCCTCTGACCACCACTAACACAGGCAAGTTGGGTGAAGTGTCTTGCCCAAGGACACAACAGCAGGATACCCCTGGCGGGAGCTGGAATCGAACCCATGACCCTCCAATCATGAGGCAACCCGCTCTACCACCTGAGCTACTGCTGCCCCATCATATGATAACAACATAATGGAAAAGAAAAAAAATCATGGTAACCTAGAAATCCATCTGTCTGCTATAGATAATGTTTTTGATGGTATTGGGTAATCTCTAATGATATCGATCAACTATAGTATTTAAGAATCTGCTCAAGGGAGCGAACCAGGTCATTCATAGAAGATCATTTAAAAAGGCACAATCAGTACTTATGAAAGTTTGTTTAGTTTAGGTTCAAAGCAAAACAATTATCATCACTCCTAAATTTGACATTTCAATTTGGTTCATTTAACCTATCAGGGGTCTAACTCTGCTTAATGTTATTTCGTTTACCCTCATAATCAAGTTCTATTGGTATTTAACAGACGCACAAGCGTCAGATGGTTAGCAGATTATTTAGAGCAATCTGCTAATTATCTTACTTTGGAAAAATGTCAGGCTCCATTGACCTCTGTGTGCCTGAAGAGGTCAGGTCACCTAGCAGTCTCCAGCAGTCTCCTTCTGTTTGGATTACGATAAGGAGACAGCGAGGTTTGGCTTAACAATTGAATTAGCAAACAATCGAATCTTCAACATTTAACCCCCATTTATAAAATAAATGTAGGTGTGTAACAAAATATTTAACCTTTATCATGTTTTATGAAATCCAGGTTTTGAAATGTAGGCAATATCATACTGCCTGTCCTACAATAAATGAAATATGTGGTCATGTACAAAATTTACTATTGGTGTGTTCAGCAATAAATGTGCTAATTAATCAGATTAAATTTTACCAATATTAAAGGTTTCAGCCAGAAACTCCATCACTTTATTTTTCTCCTAATTCCTAAGTGAGCAAGGCCAAGCAGCTGTGTCAACATTAACGTAATCTCTACCGATTTAGGAAACAGTGGCCAATGTTTACATCCCAAAGAAGACAGATGAATTCTAATCAACTGTCCAGCTACTTTATTCTAAATTTAAAAGTGTGCAAAACCCATGTTAAATTAAAACATTAACTTATCCATAACCCACTTTTAAGTTAAATTAACAACACAGAGTTACTCTTCCTTTTTGGCATTGTTTATCTTTTAGGAATTATATTAGAAGCATTTCTGATTTCTGCTTAAGAATCACATGACTGATAGGCTGATAGGGATGGCTGGTAGAGTATTGTCTCACTTGTGCCCAAGGTCTGTTAAGTTCCCAAGCTGAGAATACATGAAGAATTAAAAGAATTAAAACTTTTTAAATGCAAATTCCCTACAACAGCTTTAATTTGCTGTCTCATTTCAATTTTACTTTCAGTTTCTCCCCGTGTTCTGATCACAATGTCCGCTAATCGGAGACCTGAACAAGTTTCTACATTTGACAGACACCAGGAGATTCAGTTCATGACAACCGATATTTTTAGAGTGTTCAAAATGCAATTTTTGACTTCAACAGGTACTGCCCACCAGATTATTTTCATCTGGGTGCGATTGTCATCCGCTGAACTCCCTTGTCTTGGATTTAAACGTCAGAAACAAAGAAAGAAAAAAAACAAGGAGATAAAATGCAATTTGACAATAGTCATTAGTTTTAGTTGGTCTGGAAGTACTGTTAAATCACACAGTCAATTTCTCAATCCAGGAGGTTCAACCCAAAACCATGCAAACTTAGCTTTTATTGGTCAATAGAGCTCTGGGAGTTGACGTCACTTCTCCCAGCATGCAACAGTTCAAATCAAAACGGCGCCATCTTGGCAGGCAGAAGCCCACAGCTGGACTAATTGTTTTTGTCAGAAAACTCAATCAAACGGGAAATATGGTAGATTCCTGTTATGCCCCAGGATGCCAGAACAGACGTGGACGACATAAGGAATGAGCCACCTACAGGATTCCCCAAGATCCAGAGCGCCGCAAACGTTGGATCAGTGCAGTAAAACGCACTAGTGACCGGGCTAAAATGAAACTGTGGGATCCCGAGAGTAAAGGTTTTCGCTTATGCAGCGACCACTTCATATCAGGTACTTAAACCAACGTTTCCTCAACTGTGTATGGTGTTTATTTTAAATGCTTTTATTACGATTCTTAGTGGGCTTCCTAAACTTATGTTGGCGTGGCTTTTTCTGTCTTATTACTCATAGCAGCAAGTAAACATCACGTAAAACGTTGCCTCGTGATTTCTGCGTGCTGCCGTTTACGTGTCTTATGATCACAGCAATTAACCGGCTAAGCTGTATTTAATTTTTAAGCAATGGTTGATCAATTGTCAGATTACACATAAAAAGCACTTTGGATTGCTATTATCTGTCTCACCGAGACAGATCTCAGACAGATCCTGAGACGCTCCTGCCTGACATATTTATTTTATTCACGGAAAAAAATCAGACTAGTGATTTCTCTTGGCGTTCAGTTTATACATTCAAACAGCACATCACTCTAAACTTCTTACATGTAAATCTGTTATTTGTCCATCCATCCAACCATTTTCATCCGCTTATCCGGAGTCGGGTCGCGGGGGCAGTAGCCTAAGTCGTGTAGCGTTATGGATTGATGCTCTTTTATGAAAGAGAAACCATGCTACGTATTAATTCGGAATATTAATTTTAATAAATCAGTAACCAAATTTTATATTGTTCAGAAGACTCAAAGGTTGTTTTCATCCATAAACTGCCGATAATATCTGAGTGTCTGTGTTTCAGTTCAATGAGGAAACCAGTTTGACGTTTAAAAGTTTTAATTCTTCAAATTAAACTAATGATTTTGAAATTGACAAACAGGAAATACAATCAACATTGATAACTTTGTGGGACAATCTTTTTAACAGTTGATATGCTGTTAATGCTCAAATAGACCTTCTGTAGGTGAATGAAGATTGAGAGTGATATGATGTGATTATGGATGCGTGTGGGTGCCAAGTGTAGTGAGAATTGAACATGAGATGAGATGAATGCATGTGTGCATCTGATTTTGCTTCAGGAAGAAACAGGTGTCTGAGTGAAGTGATGGTTTGAATAAACTTAGGCTTTTAGTTGGAAAAGATGCATCAAAACGCTATCTGTCGTGTTTTGCCTCACCGAAAATCGGACCCTCTGTTGGACCCGGGACGTCACCTTAGGATGTTTCATCCAGGGCACCTTGGCTGGCAAAGAAGACAAAGATGCGCTGCGAACCGGTCCAGAGTTGTCCCTCGGTACACGTTGATGGTAAAGCGTTTTGTCGACGTGCTTTCTTAAGTTAATTCACTCAGAAATCAAAAGACTCGGTAATGAGTCTGCGTTAGAAGTTGCGGTTCAGCTATTCTGCCTGGCGTGGCAGAAACAGCGCGAGAGAAGGGGGGAAGAACGAGCCAACAGGCTCTGCCCCCCCTTTGGTTTTCAGGTCTGTTCTCTCTCGTTGTCCAACACGAACTGCATCAAAAAGACTGAAGCTTACCAAAAACCTTTCTCTTCTCAAAGCAAACGTGCGTCATCAAATGTGTCTGGAGTTTACTGTGAGCAGGTGTGTGTGGATGTGTGTGAATGTTTGTGCTTGAGTGTGTGTGAAGGTCAGTAACAAACATTCTCAACATTATTTAAGAATGGATTCATTAAACCATTATAATTACCCCAAAGCTAAATAGTCATTCATTTGATTAATCACATTTATAATGAGCAAAATGATAATGGTTA